TCTAACCACGTCTGTTGAAAAGCCTTTCCCGTTATTAGTAACAAATTAAATGGGCTATTTTCAAAGATTTCGTTAAGAATTCACCAAACGTATAAAAAAAGAGAAAAGCTACTCGAAACACGGTTTTTAAGAAAATTTAGAAGATGTCTTTGTAAGGAGCTCAGACGTTTGACTCGTTGAAACAGTTTGACTAGAAAAAGAGCATTTAACTGACTGCATGTTCTAAATTTTTACCACTAGTTATCATCTTGGACCGGTCGTATTCTTCTCCGAATTGAAGCAAACCGTCTTGGTGTATTAAGGTTTTTAATTTTTTTTCTCATCCATGCAATCAACAGTCTTTCTGTTAAAGATTACAGAAAGCTAAACTCTGTTGGTGAATAGGTTACTTCCCAAAATAATAGTTTTCTTAATCATTGACTTCAAAATACTCGGTCATGTAGAAAAAAAAAATTTCTTTTCAGAGAACACCATTTTTAAAGGCATCATTTTTTGATACTTTTAAACTGCGACATGCTATAATTCGTCGCTAGTATTCTCTAGGTTGGGTTCAGCTTTAGTCAAGGCGGCGTACAATATTGCTTGTCCACAACTTAACGGAGACACTTTGATTTCCCTTTATGCTGCGCTATTGATGTTGGAAAGAGTGTGCACCCTTTTACCACAGTTTTGAGCGGATACCAAGGTCACGCGTGTACAAGATAACTCTTACGTTATAGCAACAAATAAGCTAAAAAATATAAACAATGAATGGTAAAAGCTTAAGAATAATATGATGAATGGTAAAGGAGGGTCAAAAAGGAAACTCTACTTACCACGCGCAACGAAAAGCTTTCCATTAATAAAAAAGGAGTGTAGAAAGCTGGCCTTTCACGGTTTAGCCTAAGAATTTGTTACATTTGAATGTTAATAAGGTCCTTTCTGGTCGAAATATGGTTTTTAGGAAAATCTAGAAGATACCTTAAAAAGGAGCTCAAACGTTTGACTCGTTGTTGTTAGAGGAAGCATAACGGTCAAGAGACTATTGTTTTCTATCACCAATAATCATCTTCGGGCCTTTTTCTTTTCTGAAGTCATCTTTCTTGGTGTACGAAAGTTTTATTTAAATTTATTTCAAGCATACAGAAAGAAAAACACAGGTGGTGATTAGGCATCGAAATCGTCCGTTTTGCTTTTCATCGGTAGATGTCTTTTTGTAGTTTCTTATTCTGGAAAGAATGTCGACACTCCCACGTCACCGTTATATACGGTTAAAAAATTACACGCACCAAAGAAGGTTCGAGAATAGTTGACCTTGTAACAACAAATAAACTGAAACATGGATTGCCTTACACAGAATAATTCAACGAATGGTAAACGAGGATCATAAACGATGTTCTACTAACCATGTCCATGGAAAAGCCTTTCCCGTTACTAGTAACAAATTTTAAATGGGTTATTTTGATTCAAAGATTTGCTAAGAATTCATTAAACGTAAAAAAAGAGAAAAGCTACTCGACATTCGGTTTTTTTAAAAATGGAGAAATGTCTTTGTAAGGAGCTCAGACGTTTGACTCGTTTAAACAGTTTGACTAGAAAAACAGCATTCAAGTGACTGGTCTTTTTTTCTTGTTATCATCTTCCGCTGATCGTCCGAAGCGACCCATTTTGTTGTCATGAAGGTTTTTTTAATCTTTTCTTATCCATGCAATCGTTAGTCTTTTAGTTAAATCTTACTGGAAGCTACAATCCGGTGGTTATGGGTTTCCAAAACGTCAGTTTTCGTAATCATCGACTTTAAAATACTCGGTCATTGCGAAGAAAGAAATTTCCTTTCAAGAAAACACCGTCTATAAAATTCGTGAACTTTTATGATACTTTCAAACTGCCACATTCTTTTCGATGTTACTGCAGTGGCGGACCCAGTCTAAAACAACATTTTCTGCTCTTCGAGCCTCATTCTGGTCTAAAAATAATGGCCCAGGCCCTCCCCTCGATCCCCCACTGTACTCTCTAGGTTGGGTCCTGCGGTATACAATATCACTTGTCGTAAAACTTAACGAAGACTTAAATTTCCTTTTATCCTGTGCTATTGATGTTGGAGAGAGGCTAAGTGTGAACCTTTTTACGTCACAGTTTTGAGTACAAGGTCACGAATGTACAAGATGATTCTTAAGTTATAACAACAAATTAACTAATAATAAAGAATAACAGTGAATGATAAAAGAGGGTCAATGACGAGATTCTAGTCAACACGCGCAATGAAAAGCATTTCCAATAACAAAAAGGAGTTTAGGAAATGTGTGTTACAAGGTTTACTGAGCCTAAGAACTCGCGAAATTTCAATGTGAATAAAATCAATAGTGATTGAAAAATGGTTTTTATAAAAATAGAGGAGAAAGCTTTGTAACGAGCTCTAATGTTTGAGTAGTTGTTGTCGAACAGGAAGCACAACGTTCAACAGACTATTCATTTCTACCACCAATTATCATCCTCGGGCCTTATTCTTTTCTGAAGCCACCCTTCCTGGTGTATGAAGGTTTTACTTAAATTTATTTTTAGCTTACAGAAAACTTAACACTGGTGGTGAACAGGATCCCACGTCACCGTTATATGGGGATAAAAAGAACATACATGCTCCAAAGCAACAAATAAACTGAAATATGAACTTTTAAAGAATAATAATTACAATGAATAGTAAAAGAGAGTCAAAAACGAGATTCTACAAACCACGCACAACGAAAAGCCTTTCCCAATATTATGAGAGAGGTTAATGATAATGATTGTCAATGAAGTTTTATCTAAAAATCCCCTGCTCTTAAAAAACAGAATCTAGTCGAAAAATGGTTGTTTAGAAAATAGAGAAGACGCCTCTGTAAGGAGATTGGACGTGCGAGTAGTTGTTGTCTTAGGAGAAACGACGTTCAAAAGTTTTTTTTTACTATTATTACAAATGAATACACCATTTTTTAAAAAAAAACAATTGATATTTATTTTTCTTAATGATCTTCTTTCATTAATCACTTTCTGTCTTCCTGCAACAAGAACAACAACAAATCCGTTATCAACTTCTCTGCTGTATGATATAGTTTAAAAGGAGTTTTAGTGATCGAAGTATTTAAGTACATTGTGGAACCTCGATTTAACATGCAAAGGGACTGGTGAAATGTGTTAGTTAAGTGGAGGGTTTGCTATATCGAACACCTCTACATAACGAATGCTTGGGAAATGTTACATCGTTAAGCGGAGATGAGGTTATAAGGTGTGTATGACTGTGTATATAAACACTTGGATAGTTTGCCAGACACAAGTTCACAGATCTTTGATCTCTTTCTTTTCCATATTAATTTTTGTTATAAATGTATATGGTTCAGCTACATGTAAGAAAGACTTACCAAAAAACTTATGAATTACTCAACTTGTTCAGATCTTAAGTGACATTTATATAACCACAAGTATTTGTTATTTTTGCATCCCCTAACACACCTTGTCTGTCTGCCCCCTCCTAATATTGTTGCATAAACTTTGCTTTCAGTATCTCTTGCGGAATGCAAAATGGTGAATACTGCTCTTCAACAGATATCTTTCCAACATAATGAAACAATTCTCTTCATCGAATTCTCATTAACCTATTGTCTTAAAAGTTAAATGACTAGAATGCCCAAGAGCAATGTGATCAAACATTTTAAATTAAAAGTAAAAGAGAAATAGTGAAGAATTACAACTTCTAATCAAATCTTTGCTTATATTTTAGAATAAAGTATTCTCGAAACTCAGAATGGTTTGATCTGAGCTGGCTTAAAATCGAACTGAATCACTGCATGAAACTTTTTGTTTTGTTTTCTTATCTATGTATACAATATGTGTGAAAATATCCAATTATGAATCTATGTTTTTTAAAGAGCTACACAAACAAGAAGACTATTGACCGACCACGATACATACAGAGCGGGGGCAGCTGTAGTGCCAACTATTGATAGATAAAGTATGAAGGAGTGCTGCCATATATTTATGTGTTATGGTCTACAGTTCAAGAATGCTTTTTGATTTCCATAAATGGAAATCGGCTCATCCTCAGTGCACCTGTTAAACGCACAAGTGATGTAAAACGGAGGAAACAAAGAAGTCAACGCAATAGAACACAGAAAAACAAAAGGTGCAAAACAAAGAAAAAGTTCACAGGTTCTTACACCGAGGTAAACCCTGGAAATTGACAGATTAGATGCCTTACACTACTACATGAAAAATTACTGCAATTTGATTGGCTTAGAGCAGTGGTATTTCAGTTTAATTTGAAATACCTACATGTGAAAATTACAAACCTTTTGCAGGTAGTAGTATAAACAAATAATAGCATGATTTGTACGTGATATTTGGCATAAATACCACTCGTGATATTTCAAAATTGTCTCAAATTTGAAATAACGTATAACAAATTATGCCAAATATCACTACAAATCATGCTAGTACAAAAACAAAGCTCTTCATGTCATATGTCGTAGCAGCTTGCCCTCGATCATGGAAAAAAGAACATGTTCCCTTTTTAACGATGATCAACTCAGTTGTATAATAAATATGTTAGCTTCCTCGTGAATTAAACGCTTTTTTCATTCCAGAAAATCTGAGGAAGTATTAAAAAGTTGAACTAGAAATCATATGAGCTTACCCCTAATACGTGAAAAGGTGAAAAGGGGTGCCATAACAGAAAGATCTTACCAAATCTTCATCCACTTTGCTGGTTGATGAAGAAGCACCTTCTTTGCTCTTTTTTATTTTTCTCTCCCCGTTATCTCTAAAATCTCTCTTTGCGGGAGAACGTTTTGGCATGGTACAACAGCACCTACAACGCGACGGTTGACAACTGACAAGCGATCGACCAAGCGAGCCGCAAACAACCCAGCAAGTACGTCATGTAAGGTCACCTATTGACCAATAAAAACGCGGGCTCGAGTATTGGAGGTTCATTTTTTGGCCCTCTATTACAATCTTCCCCATGGTAAAGTACCCCCCTTTTGAACGCTTTTATCTCCTAAGGCCCGTGTACATTGTAGTCATTTCATTTTAGCCATTTGCTCTCATCTTCTAAAGTGATGAATTTCGCTGTTAAATACTTCACCAGAAAAGGTAAGTCCATTTGTGTCTGAACTGTTATGAAATATACATTAACCAGTGGTCAGTGAAGGTTACTAACGAGGACAGAAATTGGAAGCTTAACATATACCTCGGTGACCTTGGTGCTCGGCGTGTTTAATCGATAAGAACCGAAAATTGATCTCATCGATCAATCGATAGTAAAAGATACTCACGCTCTAAGAAGTTCTAATTTTATTGGATTTATCGATCGTTATAGAATCGATTGCAATTTATTAACTTATTTGTTTTGTAGTTTACCCGTTTAAATGTTGTGGCCGCTGCCGTTTGATTCTCCTCTCTGTAGTCGTTCCAGCGTGTCGTTCGATGAAAATGATAGACGATAATAATTATACAGTAAGGATGTAATAAGACAAGATGGCGGTCTCCTTTTGCAATGTCATGTGCCAAAGTGCTAGTCTCATTGGTTCCTAAGCATCATCTCATAGTACCTTCAACCTTATTACTTCGGCGGAGCGCGAAGTAAAGGATTCGCGACGCTCAGGAATGTATCAAAGTTGACTTTTTTTGACAAGATTGGGCACGCAAAGTCTGTAGGTTTTCGGTTTTGTTCGGCTATTTGACTAAGAAAAATGGAGAAGTCTTTTTGCACTGTTTGTTTTGTTAGACTTGTTATTCACCGCCATTAACCTCATATTTGACTTACATCTAACCGTTTACACCCAAGTCAAATTTAGAAGGATTTGTATGGAGCATAACTGGGCTAGTATCTCAGAGACAATTTGCCCCGAAATGCTAGTTTTTGGCAAGTAGGCCTCTTGGATGTTACTCTTTTCAGAATACCTTGTCAAATTCCATAATTTCACAAATTAACACCTTACTCTTACCATATTTCATTTCTTACTATTCCTCCGCATTTACAATTAATCAGTTCCACAGCCACGACGCCGAAGTGTGCGCTCTGTAGTGTCTTGTTGGCCCCTGCAACACACATCTGAACAGACAAAGCCACAAAGCCTCAAGGATACCTACACTCAGACCACTGACAGATGAGCTATTTTTTCAAAAAAATAGCTCAAAAATGCAAAATGCAGGATGAGGACTGCATACTGGGGTTGAAATACAGACTGAGCGTAAACTGGCTAAAACTACGTAACAAACATCTCAGTGCTGGGCTAATGCGGGATACAAACATCTCAGTGCTGTCCACTCTCCCATAAAATCCGGGAGACTCCAGATTTTGAACTCTTTCTCCCGGTCTCCAGATTAGAGTCTGGAATCTTCCATTTCTTGTAGATTTGACTTTCTGACAATGAAATTTCGAATTTTTTGCGTTTTTTGAGTTATTTTACTGTTTAACATTGAACGTTTCTTCACAAACTCCAGTATGCCATTGTAATATAAGCAATAATGTGATTGGTGGGTAGTAAGCCATGAGGTCAAATTATACAATTTGAACAAATGACAAAATTAATGACATCATGTGTGCTGTGCATTATGACTTTATCTATCGTCCCTTTCCCATCAATTCTCAATATTTGAGGAAATGGAGGGTTGACAGCCCTGAGGCATCTGCCCTCACAATTTAATAGACTTACATTGGTTGCCTGTTGAATACCATTTTATTTATAAAATCATATTTTTAGTATATAAGGCTATCAATGGATTTTCACCGTGTTATTACGGATATCCAGTTTGCTCAGTTTTTGTAACAGCTTCTACTCTTTGCATTCTTGCTTGAATAAGTTGCTTGAAGTCCCAAGATCTAAGCTAGAGTCTTATTGCAGGACCTAAATTAAGGAACAGCATACCAGCATCTTTGCCAATTCCTTGAATTCCTTCAAAAAACACTTAAAGGCATATTTATTTCACCAAGCTTTTTCTTCATTTGTAAATAGATTTTTATTTAATTTTCATACTTATATATGTAGTTGTTAGATTTTCTGTGTTACAGATATATTTATGCGCTGGAAAGTTATTTGTTATATTTGATATTGTTATTACTTCCATTATTTTTATTCCTATTGTTGTAATTTATTATTTTGTATCTTGATACATTTTTTTGTAATATTGTAAAGCACCTAGAAAACAGCTAGTGTTAAAGATGCTATAGAAATAAAGTTTATTATTATTATGTTGCAGTATGAAACTTTGGAATGCTGTCCACATTGTGAGTAGTATAGGGCGATAGCGTAACCTACACCACTTGAGAAGCTATACTTAGAAGTAAAAAAGGTCGATACAAAACCTAATACAATCCTAAAATACATAGTGATATGAATCTCTCTACTTGAAAAGCCAATTTAGAATATTATTAAATTCTGATACTCTGTAAAACCTTCGCTATCTCTACTAAAAGCTTATTTATAATAATATTAAACTCTAATGTTACAAAAAATCTAAGTAAAAACGTCAACAAGCTTGTGTTTCTACATTTCTAGAGAAAAAAAACCTAAAAACTGAAGTCCTTAGCGCCCTAACTAAGTATTTATCTTAAATGTTCTGGCAATGTGTAAAGTGTTTGAGATGACCGACTTCTGCATCCACTCAAGTACGTTCCGTGCTCTCGCTCCAATTAGCTTCCTCACCGACTTCTCTAGGTGTTTAGAGTAACCACCCAGTACATCAATTATTACTTTGTACTGTTCAACCCTGTAACCATTGTATCTCTGCTTCAGCTCCCACATCATGCGCCCATACTTGAGTGTCTTTTCCTCATCGTTCTCAGCTCTACTCTCAATCCATGGGCAGCTCATTTCAATTGTGCAAACTTCTTTCCTCTCATGGCTGACAAGTCGTGCATCGATCCGATTTGCTCCAACTTCGTTGTGCTCTGCCCTTTTTATCATTTTATCATTATTATTATTATCATTATTATTATTACTATTATTAGTATTATTATTATTATTATACTAAAAAGGTCATTTCTTACACCTGTTTTCAGACCTGGCCTCTAAAATCCATGCTCCTTTTCAGGCCTTGCCTCTAAGAAATTATGTTATCATAATTCAGATTAGAATAGCAACAAAAGGGATTTCTTAAAATCCATTTCAAATTTGCCTATTTCTCATTCTTTCTTACTCATTTGGAATTGAAACAATGTAAGTGCGTAAGTCATCGCTCATTTTTATATCGTAAAATTAAAGTTTTATTTTATAGAGGGCCACAGGGTCATCAGTTTCACTACTGTCATGTCCTACTAGCTACCCGCTTAAAATAATGTCTGTTGATTAATTGATTGTCACACCTGGTTTTCAGTCCCGGCCTGTAAAATCCATGCCCCTTTTTAGGCCTGCATTGCAGTCTCTAAGAAATTATGGTATCATTACTTAGATTAGAACAGCAACAAAAGGGATTTCTTAAAATTCATTTTGAATTCACATATTTCTCTTTCTTTTTAACTCATTTAGAATTGAAATGATGTACAGTAATTGTGTAAGTCATTGCTCATTTTAATATGTTATATCTTAAGTTTTATTTTATAGAGGGCCATGGGGTCATCAGTTTCATTACTGTCACATGCTACTCTCTTAAAATAAAGTCTATTGATTGATTGATTTGATTGAAATATATTCATACACTCCCATAGTTGCCTTGAAAACCATACCTAATTCCAGATCAAGTGGGCAAAGTCTATACCCGTTTTCTGACCAAATCAGTGCAAAAACCATACCCTTTGGGGTGCCACATACTTACAGTATATGGCTTATATAAGGGAGTACTCTGCCCGGGCTCATCATCTGCAGACTGCACTCTTCACAATCTTCATAAATTGATTAATATTTGATTACATGTGACCAAACCAGGTTGACTTCCAGAATACCCAGCCAATTAATACATACATCTCTAAGTGCTAATACAAACCATGGAACTGTAAACTGTACAAAATATGCGCTCTTTTTCACTGATCAGTGTAGACAATGAAAGCAGTTAATTCTCTGAGTTTGATTGCGAAGTATTCTAATGGATCAATTAATAGTGATTTTGTTACCTCTTCGTCCTGTGTTCCTGATGCATAAGAATCCCCAAAGACGTAAAATAATTGGTGATATGCAACCTGTAGGATACAGAGATTGATTAATCAATCTGAACATGTGTTTTTGTAGAAAAATTCTGTTCCTGTATTTTACTGTGGCAGTTATTATGGCTGTTGTTTAACAGTGCATATGTCATTTAGCTTTACACTGTAGTTGTGCTTTAAAATAGAAGGACTATATATTTTAATTTCAGTATACTGTAATACAGAGTTTTGGAGTCTGTCTTCAGATTAACTGTCTGGTTACGAAAAGGCTCAAGCATTTTGAATTTTGGACTCGTTTTTTTAACTGAGACTCAGTGGTACGAAAGGTTAAGACACTTTTCATTGTAAATTTGTGCAGAATAAAATTAATGCAAGAGTTGCCAGATTTCAACTTTGAAACTGACTGAAACCTGACTTAGACAAAACATAAAATGCATTAGTCAGGAAATAAATTCCACACTAATAAGCACAAAGAAAGACATGTCTAATTACCTGGGGCTAATAAATTGGTGGACTGCAAATTACAGACTGATGTACTGTAGGACAAATTGCTTAAATTCCTTATAAATTCATGTGGATCGAAAGCTGTGTATTGAAGCTGACGACCCGACAAAGCGAAATTATTACACAGTAATTATCATTTTCATGTGCAATTAATTAATGAAATAACTATTAAATAACAGTTTATTATTGTGCATCAAAAAGATCATTTTCAATCCAGTTAAAATGACTGTCACTGTCTAGTACATGAAGCTGTAGAGCTGACTTCCGTTGCACCCTGCTTTAATGTTATATTCAAGCAAACACAGCAAATAATTTATGATAAACCCAGAAGAGCTTTGATCAACATGAAAGCAAAAATTACTACAGTTCAATCAGAGGCTGACCATTTAAATTCCTTTAGAGAGCTTAATATCATGGAAGATAATTATGTGATCTCATACATTGAAAATGTATTTTGTAATGGCTTTTCTTAGCTAAAGATTCAAGTGATTAGAAAAAATAAATCGTAAAATAGGAAATTTTACACCTTTTGATCCAAAATGTTGTTGAGAATGGTGGTTAAAGTCAACTAAAGCTTATACTCTTAAGGTGGTATTTAAAGTGTACATTTTGTTTTTGTGCCTTTTTGAGTCAATTCCCACTGCTGCCCCTGACAAAAGAGGAAAAAAAGTGTTGCTAGTCAATTATTCCCTTTTCCCATGCTTTTTGTGCCATCCGGCACCAGGAAAATAAGTGCCACGTAGTTTTTGAAGTTTTGTACCAGAAATCATGAAATTTGCTTGCCTCTCATGACCTAACTTAACGCCAGGAGTGTTCAAATGTGCTTCAAAATCTCCATTGTCATACATTATTGAAAGAGTGCTCCCCCAATTCATGGCTTGAGAATTAAACACATGAATTAACACAATCATTCTGCACTATTTTCAGGCTATTTTCAAATGTTTGATGTCAGGCAGAAGGCAACTTACCGCAAAACAAAAAATTAAAATGACCTTAAATAATTATGCCCTGCATTGGCTTCTTCAAAGTCTATTTTTGTTATGCACACCATGCACTGAGAGAGGGGGCAGGGATGTATTGTAATAAAATGTGATGAAAAATGCTGTTACACCTGTAAATGCTTTTCTAAAAATCAGCAAGCATGGCCCTGAAATTCGGACCTTTATTTTGGTGAAACCCCATCAGGATGGACTCTTTAGTGAGAACTTGTTTAGGTATCCATCTATTGCATAGCAGATCTGGTATTCTAGGAATTTACAAGGAATACATGTATGTAATAGGGGAAAAACTCTATAATTAGCAAGATCTCATCTGGAATCTTTCTTGAAAATGGGATGCACACTTCGGCGAACCTGGAATGATGCGGTAAAACTACTCTCCCAGGCCACTGTTAAAATGCAGGGCCAGATAATGTGACAATGTTACTTACTATCCCATCAGGACCAGCTGCTTTATTGGTCATGATTTTCTTGAGACTTCTGTGAATTTACAGTCTAGCATAGTCATTTTGTTCTTAGATTAATGACTCTATAGGAGAGTGTTCTTTAAAAACCAAATTGATATTAGTTCTTTCTAACTACAATAAAATTAAAATAAAATGTAGAGAGAATATTACATGGCCGTGCGGGGATACGAAATTTGTGTTCGAGTGTTGAAAAATATTTCACAAGTGAGGCATAGACTTTGTGTAAGTGTAAGTCTTAGTGTAAGTTAATGATGTCTATGATTACTAAAAACGCGCGTAAAAATCCTCCCGTTTTAGGTGTTTGGCTACTGGTTGAAAAAAAAATTTAATTCTTAAACTTTGGATGCATTAATGTCTGTTAAATTCATGCACTTTTCTAAACTAGAAGAAAGACAGGTATGCCCATCTGATCTACTCATCACTTTCGATGTTGGTAAGTCTTGTTTAGAGAAACCGCAGTGATGGTTAAATGAGCGTGATGCTAATATCCTCGATTGTGAGAGCCCCAAACTCACTAAGACGAACAAATGAGCAGTCGATGTTTGTACTTGAGGGACTTAGTTACAAATATGTCGCTCAAACATGTAGGTAATAGCCCCATATGATATTTGAACATTGTTACTGAAACATCTTGCAGTCGCCTGTTGTAAAGTGTGCTGCCTTCCTGGCATTTGATTAGCGTTTCGGCGGAGTTTGTGCTTTGGGAGTTTTCTATTGTTTCTAGTCTGTCATGATACAGCATTCTTGTTCAGCACGCGTGCAGTGACCGCGCTTGGCTGACTTCCGAATGCTCACCGAGATATGATAATTTTGGTACGGTGAGACAGGCGATTTTTAATCAATTCTCGTGCTTCTTGTGCCTTTGCGAAAAAATCAAGAAATGCTACACACTAAATCTACTTACCATTAAAAAAATATCATTTTTACATAGGTTTAATGCAAGCCAATAATTAAACCAGCTCATTACTTATCCTTTTATTTGGTAGTGAAAAAATTAATTACGCTTGTAAGCACTGTCACTTTTTTGTGACTCTTGGTTTCGCTCTAGAATCTTTCTTGCTCGTCTTGCTTAGAGGTAATGCTGAAATTGTTAGCAAAGCCCTTGTACCTCCTACAGTATACAAAGCGCTGAGGGTGTTCATGTCTTAGACGTTACGTGACGGGAATCCCTTCTATTTTCTCATACAAAATTATCATATCTCGGTGGACTTCGGAAGTCAGCCAAGCGCGGTCATTGCACGCGTGCTGAACAAGAATGTTGTATCATGACAGACTGGAAACAATAGAAAACTCCCAAAGCACCAACCCAGCCAAAACGCTAAAAATCTTCAATGTTTACTCAAGTTTGGGCTTATAGAAGATAATGTAACAGTTTTTCAATGATCATGAAATTCAGAATTCGGGTAGTCAGTTCATCAATTGTGGCCCTGAAAAAATTTGAAGGAGAAAAAAACTACGAATTTTTAAGAAAATGCTTTTTTCGTGAAAAGAAGGACTCTTAAACGCTGGCAAACGGCAACAACTAGCTAAAACTTATAATTTGTATATGTTCGCATTGCTCGAAATCGCGCACATTTACAAGGCCCGAAAGTTTTTTGCTGACTTGCAAGGACCCATCTGTATGGTGGCCCGCTAACGCCATAGCAATTTTGCACTTTTTGGGTGAAATTTTGACACTTTCCATTCTATTTTCCTATATTTTTTCTTTTTAATTTATTTTCTTTTGATTATTTTTGTCTTTTTTTAAATTTCCTTTCTTTTAATTATTTTTATCTTTATGAAAATTTTCTTTTCTTTTGATAATCTTTATCTTATTTTTTTTTATAGTCTCTCTTTTTTAACTTTAATTGTTTCTTCTTACTTTTTAATTTGATTTATTTTGTAATTTTTATTTTATTTGGTTATACAATTTTTTTGTTTTATGAAAATTTACAAACATTGATCTAATTTTGAAAAAAAAAAGTCTCTAGCCCAGCAACGCCATAGACCAGAATTCCTCCTAAATTTTATGCTATATTGTAGATTGATTTATATGTTATCCATGCTATTTGTTAGACTTACGATCAAAGTAAAGGTGGGGATAGCAGAGAGCTTCAAAGTAGGATGGTACCCTCACAAAATAACTGGGTCGAGTCACCTTAAGACGCGTCTGCTTTTTCCTCGTATAAATGGCCCTATTGTGCGTTTTGTTCAGTCTTTTTATTATACGAAGACTGTGAGTAGTGTTTCGATATAGTTTAGCTGGCACAAAAACTTCGGAGGAGTTATAAAGCGGCATAATTTTCTGCGTTGAAAAAAAGTTAGTCACGGTGAGACAAAAGGCGAACTCGAGCGAATTTTTTACTCAAACTAGTATCACGGTAAAAAATACGTTATCGATCGTTTCATCTGTTTACAATGTACATTGTTTAAAGTGCGTTCCGATGAAAGCAACCAAAGTCACAAAATGCAAAGGCTTTTATTTTTTTAAGTTAAAAAAATCCCAAGAGAATAATCTAAAACTGAATATCTTTTCATGTAGACTGCTGCAGACTGCAAATTAGATCGTTTCAGTGTAATCAATGAGGCCGATGGATCGGGAGCAATGGGCAGTTTGTTGTCTGTTTTAGTAAACTTCTCGTTTTTATACAATACAATATTTCTGTCTAGTGTTAGCAGAAGCAGCCCAGTGAATTCGCCTTTTGGCGAGTCTAGTTATGTTTCTGTTCAGTTAATATTAAGTTTCGAGTACATGATGGCTAAGTAAAGTATTCGATGTTCTAGTTGGCCATCACATTACCAACTGCGTCTCGTTTAAATACAGGCGCGGAACCATAGAGAACGGAAAAAAATTAATAACAATTACTAAAATAAGAAAGATGTGAATCTTGAATTTCTCTCCTTGGGCCTTGACTGGAATTATTTTGACTTGTAAGAAACAGAAGAGGTAGAGTGTGCGTCGTGTGATTTGCAATACACGTGTCGGTAAAGCTAAGAGCTGTTTTCCGATATTACGTCATTGTTGAGACAGCTCCCACAACCATTTTGAAATATGAATTATGGTACCTGCTATTTATTGACTTGTTCCGTCGCTTGTTGGCTCTTATCTTTATATCCCCCTGTTAACAAGACGTGTCTTTTTCACGAGAAGATGTGAAAAAAGGTCAGTTGCCTCCTGTAGATAAGGGAGAGCCACCTGTGGGCTTCCTGGTTTACTAGTACCTGTGGGTAAAGAATTGTCTACAACGGTCGGTGTCAAACACGGACTGCGGACCACGGACTGCACACTCGGTATAAAACACGCAATCCGGACTGAGTATGAAACACGGACTAGGTATAAAACGCGGACTATGGACCATGTATGTAAAAACAGCTTTAGAAAGGTAAGACCGAGATAAACGGAAAGCGGACTAGCATAAAACAGTAGTCCCAGCTCCTTGCCTCACACACAAACATTCCTTTTGCTGGTCACGCAGTCTAATCTCCCCAACGTCAGCGTCATGTGGAGAAGGAAAGCATACTGCACAGACAAGGAAGGTTATGCCGCTACTCAAGGGAAATGAAATTAAACTCTGAATTTTATAAAAAGAAGGAGTTAGAAGAGAATTCAATTTATAGTTTGAAACCAATGAGAAGGACTGAATAAAAAAAAATAGTATTGGTGTTAGTCAGATTAAAATTCTTGTAGATGCCACTATTCCGTTTCAAATAAAGCCTTGGGAATGAAGAAATGAAAAACTCAGACGAGAAGGTCAATATAGGGGCATTCCGCGATGTAAAATAGCAGTATTTACGGTGGAGGGATGACTCACCTATACGTGAATAATATATGAAATGAATCATCCAACGTTATATTCTAAGCGATGATTATGATGACATGATTTACACCCTGCCCCTGACCCCCGGAGGGGGGTACTTCTGTGAATTCTTGGTGTGGGTGGGCCGCCCGTATCTCCAAATCTGACCCCATTTCAAACCTAAAAATGTCGTTTTCCAAACTCGTTTTTAGACCAGATCTCTAAAATCCATACCCATTTTCAGACCTGGCCTAATTTAGCGTGTTCCAGACTGTCAATTACTAGGGGAGACTCCCAGTTTCCTCCCGCTTTATTTTCGTGTTCGCGCTTTCTTATTCAGCGGACCCAACTATCTCGGAGCCTGGAACAGGCTAGGCTTGGTAAGGCAGAAATTATGTCATCATTCAGTATCAGATTAGGGCGTAAACTAAAACATGAATTCTTCAAATGCATTTGGAATTCACATATTTCTATTTCGTTCTTATTCATTTGGAATTGAAACAATAAGTACCTTCATACATGTACACTCCCGTAGTTTACTCGAAAACCGTACCCGATTCCAGACCAAAATGGGCAAAGCGTTTTCAGACCAAAAAGGCCCAAAAACCCTACCTTTCAGGGCGGCACACACCTACATGGCCTATATAAGGGGGTACCTCCCCGGGTCCTGACCGCTGTCATGATTGAATAAAATGGGAGTAGAAAATAGCATTTTGTTAGGCTCATGATTGAGAGAACCGGGCGGCACACCCCCACCAAGAATTTCTAGGTGTATTTATAACTTAAACTCACGTGTCTTGCTATTTAGGGATCTTCTGATCTTATTTTATTTTTCCTTACCTAGAACCAATTGGCACCTTTTTTACCATCGTAGTCCGTAGTCCGTATTTTATACCCAGCCCGCAGTCCACAGTCCGCGTTTTATACCTAGTCCATGTTTTACGCTCGGTCCATATTTTCCAGTCCGTGTTTTGTACCTAGTCCGTATTTTATACCCAGTCCGTAGTCCGCAGTCCGTCTTTTATACTGACCGTTCTCTACAATGTCGATATTATATGTAGGTATCAAGACTTGTTTAGCCGTTTGAACCTAATCCGCACAAACCTTTGGTTGACAAACAAAACCCCCTAACACTATTGCCTTTGCGTATATTCTGCCAGTTTATACACAGTGCTATAAGTTCAACCCTGCAACAAAGAACAGTTAGTTGTGCCATTAGTTGTGGCAGTTAAGCTGAATTTCCTCAGAACTCCAACTCAGTCTACTACACCTTTAGCCAGACGAATGCCAACCGGACAAACGGAGAGAAACTGAGAGACAAGGCCTCAGCCCCTTTCTAAAGGGGTATAATTAACACTATCTTATCTGATTATTTGACTTGGACGTGTTACCCCTGCCAATGTTTGGTAAAGGCATCGACACCTTCAGTGCGTTGTAGAAACAGGAATTACTGGCATTTAACTACCATGTAGCGAACTTATGAAGAGTGAACGGACCCCATTAAGTGTTTATGGGAAAATATCTGGGTGTATGTCCTGGGCGTTAATATTGGTGATTTTGGTGAGGTAGTAATAAGGAAGTGGGTGTTTTTACCCCGTGGGATCCAGGCTGGAATATTTAACTGAAAAGCTATATCTGTTAAAAAAATTACACAATTTCTTCTACCCGTGTGTTGCCGTCAGGTTTCGGACTGTCTCAATCGGTTATGCGGGTTTAATTTGGATTGTCAGTGTGTTACTACTGGTTTTTTCACTTGCGGGAGTTTCCAAAATAACATGTAGTCAAAAGCTATATCTGTTAAAAAATTACACAATTTCATCTACCCGTGTTTTGCAGTCAGGTTTCGGACTGTCTCAATCGATTATGCGGGTTTAATTTGGATTGTCAGTGTGTTACTACTCGTTTTTTCACTTGCGGGAGTTTCCAAAATAACATGTAGTCAACAGCTCTAAGCTCTCGCTAGTTGGAAATCCTTCCTTTTTCATTGGATGACCACTGTCCCTGCATACTAACCACGATGTCTAAGAATAGGCAACAAAATCAATGGCACAAGTCTCGTCAAATATTTATTTACTGTCGCCTCTCCCTGACAACCTTCCATAATTTGCTACTATTCTTAGAACCGCAGGAAATAACAAATTCTGATGCATCGAACTTAACGCTAAGGTGATGCAGTTGTATATTTATTATCTCTTTTTGAATCTTTTGTAGATGTTTATTTTGCTTATGATGCTACGTTTTTCTAATTACAGTATGTCGTGTATTAATGGCAAGACCTTCCATCAAAGCCGTGGTGTCGAAGGCCGGAGGAAGTGTTACATGTTACACGCAGTGCCGCACAGGTTCCTCTTACTATAGTAAATTTGATGCAGTCATCACAGAAACAGCATCGCACTGCAGTCCAGTTGTTATCATTCTTGGTTGGAATGGTTCTAAAGAAAAACATCTTAAAAAGTACAGCAAGATATTTGAAGAAAAGGATTTTTGTACTATTTGTGTTCCCGCTAAGCCATTTAACACTTTTCTTAGAGCTGGAAGCAAGGTTAAGCAAATTAGCTTACACATTTTGGATGTATTAAGTGATCTAAATGGCCAAGAGAGACCTGTATTCCTGTATGCATTTAGCAATGGTGGCTGTGCTATGTTTTTTCATATGATGGAAGCCGTTTCATATTCCACACGGCCATCCTATCAAAGAGTGCCTATTGTAGGAACAATATTTGACAGTTGCCCCATCCGTCCGGATTTCAATAGCCTTAAGGCAACCAAAGAGAGCGTTGTTGATATGATAAGAAGCCCAGTACTTAAAAGTATCCTGTGGCATTCCATGGGAATTATCATTCCAGCAGTACTTCTCTTTAATAGCACAGTGAAGCGTTATATGAGTGGTTTGACAGAATCACCACTGCAGTGTCCTCAATTACTTCTTTATTCCAAGGCTGATAAGTTGGCTCCATACCAAGATATTGAGAATTACTCACAGGCACGGAAAAAAAGGGGGATCTTCGTTGTATCCAAATGCTGGGAGAGATCTAAACATGTGAATCATTACAGAGAGCATACCGCTGAATACCTTGATGCACTTAATTATTTCATAGAACATTGCTTAACCACCTATGAAAGTACAAAGAGTGACTTGGTTGAAAAAGCCGTCTCTCAAAAATGATGCATAAGTTTCTCATCTCTCTCAACGGGATCGGCTATTTATCGAGTTACGAGCTTGAGTTGAGTAAGAGTTGAGTTTGAGTTAAGTTTGAGTTACCAAAAAATGCCTTTTTTCTACAGATGATGCGTTTTCACCGTATTTGTTTCTGTTTTTAGTGTTGTCTAGTATTTTTGTTGCTGCGTTTTTATGATTGGTGCTTGTAACTACGCCCCTACAAGGGAGACGAAACACTTCATGGGCGAAGGTTATTGAGAGCACTGTTCACTTGTTCGGTAAGAGTAAAGTTCTTTGATGTTTTTTCAAACATAAAACTGTGTTTTTCTGGTCGCTAGATACCCTGAATCGTCTCTAGTTTTAAATGATTTATCTTCATTTGATGACCAAAGAGAATTAAACGGCCATTGTGCAAAAAACATTGACAAGGGGAAGAAAAAATGTAGCAACCGTTCTTTTTCCAACGATTTTTAATGCATTTGTGACTGACTAGTAGCATTCCATCGTGTTCTGATTTTTCGGTTTCCAATACTATTGCACTATACCTAATACATAGATTTAGCCAGGGCTAAAAGCGAAGCTCTCGATAATATTTATAGTTTGTTCAAACAAAATATTAAATCATGTAATCCTAAGCGGTGAAGGCAACGCCGGAGAACGGTGAAAAACAACAATAGGACTAATTAGGAAAAAAGCAACTTTGCACGTGCAGCACACTTTTTTTACATTTCTTTGCCGTTGTTTTACACGACTGCAACATGAAACTTCCAGAAACTTCTTAGTTACACGTTTTTTCGTTCACTTTTTTTTCACTGCCGCTTATTTTCACCTTGCATTGGTGCCCGCTACCATTTCTCATTTTGTCACCGCCGTTACAAAATTTTCATGTTGTTCTTCCAACAAAAAAAATGTCTCCTTTGTTTTTTATCTCTTGCTCTAAATCTCTGTCGCCCTTTTTCTCGTTGAGCTTCGCTGGCCTGCCGCCTACTTTCTCTTTTTCTCTGTGTTTCTCTTGCTCTATATTCCAAATTTGTGGACATGACAATTAATCTAAGCTTAATACTTTAGAAAACACGGACACAGAGACAATTTCCGCTTTCCATTTTCCTCTTCATTGACTCTCTAGTTGTTTCTGCTTTACAAGACGCGGGCGGATATGCGATTTCCCGTCAAAATAACCTCGAATTGCATTTGGGTTGCCATACCTGTTGATTGACTTATTTTACATTGGTATGCCTGTGGTGCGGACGGGCGGTCGGTCGGTGTACGGTCACGTGATTTCCAAATTTTCTCGGATGGGTAGTTTACCACATTTTCTTACCCATGGTGCTCCGCTATAAGGACTCTTCCATTGTATGGCGCTTTTTTGGGGTCAAAATTAAGTGACACATTTTACATGCAGAATTAAAATAACAAGACATTTTACATGGCGAATTAAAATAACCATTCCTGGCGAATTAAAATAACCCATGCATTTTACATGGCGAATTAAGTAACGCATGCATTTTACATGGCGAATTAAGATACGCATGCATTTTACATGCGAATTAAGTAACGCATGCATTTTACATGGCGAATTAAGTAACGCATGCATTTTACATGGCGAATTAAGATACGCATGCATTTTACATGGCGAATTAAGTAACGCATGCATTTTACATGGCGAATTAAGATACGCATGCATTTTACATGGCGAAATAAGATACGCTTGCAGTTTACATGACGAATTAAGTAACGCATGCATTTTACATGGCGATATACCTATATGCAAGGCTTAATACATCTACACGACGTGTGAAAGCTTGACAGTGGCCGACATTTTACTTGGTTAAATCGCTTACTTGAAATGAATTTACTTTAAATTAAGTATCACATTTTGAGTACCGTAAAATCATCCGAAAATAAGCCCCGGCAGGGCTTATATTTTTCAAAGGCCCTTTTTGAGGGGCTTATTTTTGGAAGGGGCTTACATTGGGAGGGAAATTTGTGTTTCAAAATCGATTGGGCTAGCCTTATAGTTGGAAGGAAATTTATGGTTTTTGCTTTGTTTTACTTTGTATTTGAAGGCAATTTTCCGACTACAAGCCCCCGGGGGGCTTATATTCGGTGGGGCGATTTAACCAAGGTTTTTTGCGTCACCGGTTTGGTGGGCTTATATTTGGAGGGGCTTGTTTTCGGAATTTTACGGTATGCGATGAACGATCGTTTTTGAATCGGGTAAATACTACTGTCCCCAACCAACGGGTAGGAGAGAACCCTGGGAACGAGGGTTCCACGCCCCGGTTTAACATATGGCTGATGGGATTGATCTGACGGATTTTTTCGCACGACCTAGAAATTCCCTACTTGATCTATCAGGGAGATTACAGTGTAATGCGTGCGAAGATACTCTTGATTTTGTAAGTTTCCGTTTACAGCAATTACTGCAGCAATAAAAGGGGGTGGTAGGCCTACACGACTTTTACCTCATGCTAAAATTCTGCTTATTCCAATAAAGGTTTTTTTTCTCTGCTGGGTAGATTATGTACTGGACGGTTCTATATTTTCACCGAGTAAATATAATTTAAGCCGCATGTTTCACACGGAAAGGTCATGACATACATATCGATTTACTGTAGTTATTGTTTCTGGTCGGCAGGATTTGCCCTCTGATGCAAGCGCATTTTCTTTGACCTCCTTTTGAAGCGTAAAGCTTTTTTATTGCGGCTGAATAAGGGCTCCAATTTTCTCCAAAGTGCCTTCTAGATCTGAATAACTAAGCGATTTTCTTTAGTCCGTGAGTGTAATGTTTTTCTGCAATGCTGTATCACGCTGGGCCCAGCTCGTTAGTTTTCTTTGCAGAATGCTAAGTTATCACAAATAGTGATTTACAGATCCAAAATTATAAGAATGAAGTGCAGCTTAAACTGAAGCTACATCAACTTACTAAGGAGAATTGAATTGTGACTCAGTAAACTCCAGCTTAGTGTTTTTCTAAAGATAGTGTGAGTCTTTTGACTGGAGCGTGTAGCTCCTCCCCTGGTAATAGCTTTTGAATAAAGCTTGTTATTGCCGCTTTGTGATCAGGCAAGACCATGGTTTCGGTTCTCCACACGCACCTCATCAGTTGCCGGGTTGGCTTTGTGCTTAGTTTCTTTTACAGGAGCAACTTTAGTTTTACTTTGTCGTGACGAGAACGGTACAGCCGTTCTGTCTATTGCGGCGTTGCTAAAACAAGGGTAAGGCTGAGAGTAATCTATTTAGCTTTGAACTTAAACATAAATACCCCGGTGGCGGATCGAAATTCTTCCTATTCGCTACTGAACGTAACCAATTACGGAGTGTGTATTTCGATCCTCTTCTGCTTCAAGCTAGAGGTGTGTTTTTTTGGAAAGCTTTTTTTGAAAATTTAAGCACTTCTTTTTCTGGAAGAGTTCGAAGACTGTTGAAAATAAGTGCGCACAGAGTATCCGTACAGTCCCTCTAAAAACTAGAGTGGATACGTTCCTCGTTAGGTGCGCAATGTTGAACTTTCTACTGTGTGCTTGGTTTTTATTGGTGCCTGTGTTGATTTTCATAAGTTAAAACGGGGCCCTAATTGCGAACTTTCGAGTACTGGAATCTCGCGTGCTATCTTGAACTTCAAAAGTGGCGTTCTGGCGTCGGCGACCTGACCTCTCGGACGTAAACAAATGCGCAGTATATTCACACTAGCGCAAGTGACTTCCGGACGGCGTTCTTAACCTCAAAAACGTCTAGTGCTTATAAGCTCTCTACTTTCTACTTTCTACTTCTGACGGACGCGCAGCACAAGGGGTGAGGGGGCGGGGAGATGAGTTTTGGGGTCCGAGGTCTGAGTTTTCCAGGCCTGAGTTTACTAGACACCCCCATCAAACAGTAGTACCGTATTTATTCGATTAACCGCCCTGGGCGGTTATTAAATTTTTGGACCTTGAGAGTGGGCGCTTATTTGAGGCTGGGCGCTTATTAAATTTTCACCATTTTAAGCAAGTGAAGTATGTTTATTTTGCAACAAATGCTAATAACACAACGCGAAGAAGTAACAAAGCAAGGTTTCTGTAAAATACTCTGAAGAAAACTCCGTCCTCGTGGAAGTCTCTTATTAGGATTTATTCACTCAAGTGGGTGGGGTTGGGTGAGCCGGCTTATTTGAGTTTGATTGAGAGGAAGAGGGGGTGGGCGCTTATTCGAGGCTGGGCGCTTATTAACTTTTTCGGCCTTTAGGATGGGCGCTTATTCGAGGTGGGCGCTAATTCGAGGTTGGGCGCTTATTCGAATAAATACGGTATTTCTCCGATTCAAAAACGATAGTTCATCGGATTCTTTGCCATCAATTCAAAATAAATACGACTCTCGTGTATTTAAAATGTGATACTAATGATATTTAAGGTGATTCCCTAGTTTTGCACTGCGCATCTCTTACTGCGCATAACAAGATGGCCGCCGTAAAAAAGCGCATGTAAAGTAATATTATTAAAATGGAGTTGACTGAAAAGAAACGCTATTGGAATTTTTGCTTGCTGTGTTTCTTGCCGAGGTGAGACTCAGTGTGTTGGGAATGTGCATAACGTAAGCAGTACGTGTGTTGCTGAAGTCGACCTCCTCCCGGAGAACCTCGATAGCGGATGTTTAACTTGTGCTTACTCACTTTGATTTTCATTTAAACACTTTCTTTATCACATTGTGTCCTAAATGTGATATCTCGATGTAAATTCTGTAAAAACGGATTTTAATACTTTCTTCCCCCTTTCACATACATTCTATTTTGAAACTCGCCCCAGTCCTCTCTCAAAAATCGGAGAAAATGCGTTTGGTGCGCACTTTCTGCAACTCTACCGCAAAAACGAGTACGGTGACCCCCATTTTTTATTTCATGATTTTAATAAGGACAGTGCTTCCTTTCGATGAGAAAAAAAATGGCACAAATCTATGTTCAGTTTTTTGGCAATTTTACTAAATTGTACGGATTGAGCCATCACGGGTCGAAAAGCGCGCGTCCAATTTAATTCTGCTTTGGAGCGTAAAGTAAAAACAAGGGCATTAAAAGGCATTTTTCTGGTACGTAAGTGGATAAACAATACATTAAAGTCAAATTCTGTGTGATGTCAAATGCATCATCGAAAAAATCTCTCCTTTTTGTCTAGTTTTGCGCTGCCCGCGGTTTTTGTAAAAGGGTCCTAAATAGCCGTATTTGTCAGCATTGTGACGTCAAAACGAGCACGGTGACCCCCACTTTTTATTACTTTTTTATCATCTTCTTGACTTGTTACATCAGTGTACCAAGTTTTAGCTAAAATCTATGTTAGGTTCTTTTACTATGGAATCACCTTAAGGTAACTTTTATTTTATAACCAAGTAAAATGTCGGCTACTGTCAAGCTTTCATACGTCGTGCAGATGTATCAAGCCTTCATATTTCGCCATGTAAAATGCATGCGTTTAATACTTAATTCGCCATGTAAAATGCATGTGTTACTTAATTCGCCATGTAAAATGCATGCGTTACTTAATTCGCCATGTAAAATGCATGCGTTACTTAATTCGCTATGTATAATGCATGCGTTACTTAATTCGCCATGTAAAATGCGTGCGTTACTTTAATTCGCCATGTAAAATGCATGCGTTACTTGATTCGCCTTGTAAAATGCATGCATTATTTTAATTCGCCATGTAAAATGTATGGGTTATTTTAATTCGCCATGTAAAATGTGGCACTTAATTTTGACCCCAAAAAAGCGCCATGCCATTGCAAAGTTAGGTTCTCTCTGCTTTTCAAAGCAACATTGTTACTAGCAGGATCGGCTCCAAATTCAAGGTTTTTGTTTTGTCGTAGTGGCCATAGATCAAAACATACATGTTAGAACAACAAGACTGGCGAAAACAACGACTTTGCACGTGCATTACGCATTTTTTCTTGCCGGTCGTTGTACGACCGCGACGGGAAACTGCCTATTATAAAATTCTTCTGTTCAGGAGGACGTCCAGGACGCGAACACCATACAGGGGCACCTAGCGACTTTTTCTCTGTAAAATAACTGTTCGAAGGAGAACATATTGCCTAGAAATTTCTAAATCTTGACAGAAGCTAAAAATTTGTGGATAACCGTTCCATTCGTCTAAAATCTTCGGAGGTTTTCTAATAGCTTAACTACGATTTTTGGAGGTTGTGTTATTCACATTTTAATACTAAGATATTGCCATTATTGTTAAAAAAGGTCTCCTAAAACTTCCAGTATAAAGACATTACGTCCCCTAAAATTTTCTTATGAAAGCAAGGCTACTTTATGTCCTCAAACTTTCGACTGGACCCATAAGGGACCTAAAACTTTCGTGACGACCAAAGTTCCCCTGAGACTAAGTTCCCCTACCAAAGCATAGAGAAAACCATCTGAGATCTGAGACATTTCTGGCGTATTTGGAAACATTCGGTCGTTGGGTGCCCCTGAGACCTACGCTGGCACCTTAAGTTGCCTTGGGTCGCCTTCAGTCGTCTTAAGTTATTTTAAGTCATTAAAATCTTAGAGGTTCAAATTGTCTTGTAGTTATATCTTTTTTAGTTCTCTATTTCCAGAATCCAAGATTTCTCATAAAGTGTGTAATAACCCATGTTCAATAATATTAGCCACAGAACCACCCCACCCCCCTCCCCCCCCCGCAAAAAAAACTCCCCCGGTGACTTAAGACCCATTAATTTCTTCTCCAGCACTGGCCTCTAATTTGTACATTGAATTATTTTAGGCAATTTAATACACATAATAATTAGTTGTAAGCAATACAAGAATAATCATTCCTGTATTTATGCAAAAATGACAACATATGGTCAATAACAATTATTCACCGAAGTGGAGGTGGCTAGTCGTGCCGCGAAGCAGCCAGGTAAGTTCCACCACTAGCCACCGACACTGAGGTGAAAAATTGTTTTAGTATATACTAAAACAGTGAGATAATTGAGCGCAAAAATGATGATTTTTAACCTAAATACTGTTACCAACGATAACAATTTTGTCGCGTAATGACCGAACGCCCGCGGCCGTCGTTTTTTCTTGCCGACAAATAAAACTTTTGAAGGCATTTGTTTAGCTCTTGCGGAGAAATTTCTTCAAAAGGAATCATTCTGTAAAAAAAAATTATTAAGAGCCAGTCTCTGTAAGATCCTCATATCGAGTTTTGCCCACAAAATGGATTTCGCTCATCATTTTTCTGTAGACTTCTTTTAATAAGCATATAACAAATATGAAACTAGATTGGAGAAAGACGAGAAATTCGCTTCTGTAAATTTTTTTTAACGAATTTTCTTTCGGCACCACATGAGGACCTGAGAAGCTTGTGAAATATGCAAATTTTGTGAAAATTCAACCGATTGCTCCGGATAAAAGAGTGCGAC